AATCCCACTCTAGCGGACAAAAACAGCTTTTTATATGGACGCAAACGCGCGTTGCAACTTCTTATCTGGTGCGCGTCTTTTATTTTGACAGTGAATGCGCACATGCGGACCACTTATGTGCACCCGTGTAAATAACATGACGTTCTGCCGGGTGTGTTGTTGGTTTTCTCTCAATTTCTGAGTCGACAAGCGCCTTTGTTACTGGGACCAGTCATTTTAAGAAAGGCCCCCATTAGAACCCATGAGAAATGCAAGAAATGCATTATTGCTCAGTCTGGAGAACAAACACCAATTGCAAATAACATACTAAAAATAAACCTGAAAAACCTGTTTAGACCAGCTACTATGTTGCAAAGAGTGAACTACCACTGGCACAATGTAGCAGTCTTTGCAAACTTCAAAAAGCAAATGGCCTCGATCTTGGTTCCACTTGTCTCTTACCCGTGACTTCAGCGGAAATTTCAAATTCAGGATCTGACACAGACTGATTCATGTCCTACACAGTTCTTACAAGTTCATAGAAATTTCTGTTCAATTAGAACCAAGTATTTGAGTTGATGATTGTAATTTTTATACAATGTTGTAATTTGTTTTTCAACAATTTTTGATTAATGTTTTGTTTCTGTTACAATATTATACTTTAATGTATAATATGGTAACAGAAACAAAACATCAATCAACAAATTGCTCTCTTTTTTATTCGGGCTACTTAAATTTATTTTGGGCTACCAAAACCTGAAGAGTCCCTGCCCGAAGGGCTACCAGGGACTTTGAAATTTTGCGAGCCCTGCTTGTAATATTTGTTATAGCTTAGCTGATGAGGCTTTTATGGAATTTCAATGTCTGCAAGACTGAGAGTCAACAAGTAAAAGATTAAAAACGAAAGTAAAATTAAACGTTTCAAGCAATAAAACTTAACATGAAGCAAACCTGTTTTCAAAAACAACTGAAACTAAACTGAATTCAAAACTGAAAATGGCAACAAAGTAAAAAAATAAGAAAATACAAAACTATCCCTCCACCAAAAGACCGACCACACAGCAGGACGACCTTCAGTACGCCATATAACTGAGTAATTAATAACTACTTCTTATCAAACAATAAAGCGAGTTACTCTTTTTCCAGCAGCTCAAGCTGCGCTGTGCAGTCTGCTGAAAACAAAATGCAAAAACACCCACATCACATTTACGCTTCAGTTTATTCATAAAAGCGTCTCATCGCTTAACGTGTCCAAAATCAGATGAAAGCGCCACACAAAACAGAAGGAAAATTAGGAACCGACAACTTTACCTAAAGTCCACTGAACAGAAGTGAGCCTCGGAGTTCAGAAACACATCGCTGTGGTGACTTTTAAAGTCTAGCTCAGGTCGGGCTGGTGACACACCAACAAAGTGATAACGAAGCAGACCTGCAAGTCTTTAAAGCGCACATCGTTCACCAAAGCAAAACTGAAAGTATTTGTTTTACAATGTGCGCTCAACAGCTGATGCAAGAAATGCTTTCATTGCAAACCAGAAAGACGAGCGCTCTTTAAGCTGCCATCAAACGTGTTTAAATCCCTGGTAACAGGAACTATTTCAGAAAGGCCTTAAAGAGACACTGTTCAAAAGAATAAAGAAAGTTAGTTAAACTTCTGAATTATTGATGTTATCAGTTAGTATCAGAGGTTATTAATCAGGTTCAGCTGCTTTGGTGTTATTGACGTTAACCAGGTGCAACGATGAGGCAACGCTCGCCTGATCCGACTGAACGCCTCGGAGACGTTATGTTTCAGCCCGTCCAACGCCTCCAAACCTCGGACTGAGCACAAGCTCGCTGACGCCCTGGTTAGATATCCAGCATGATTTTTTCCCCCACACCTTTGTGTTTGTGAAAACACACCTGATGTGTTTTCAAAGTGTATTAAAACCTGCTTAATCTCCACTAGAGGGCAGCAAACACCACCTTAATGCTTAGATTTCAAGGTAAGGGCTGCTCATGTTTTTATATCAGATATTGGGTAAATGTGACATTATGTTTTTTCATATTGTGAAACATGCTAGTAAACAAACTCAGGCAGACTAACTGTAATTTAAAGGCTGCATGAAAAAATCCTCACATATGTGACTCTGCAGGTTAGTGCAGGATAAAAAGGTTACTTTGCTGCAATGTGGTGGATTTAAAGTGGAGAACCGTGTGTGACTGGTGCACAGTGGCTGTGGGTTCATGGTCACAGTTAGCTTACATCAAGTGTAGCAGAGATTCATATAACGTTTAGCTGATGATGCTGTGATTCTGACTGAATTCCACTATCATATTAACTTCATACCGTCTAGTATAAACACAGCATAAACAGTGTACTGTGGGTGTAGAGGATGGAAATCAGCCAGGACTACTATTGCATCTACATCTGCTCACATCTGGCTGACCTCAGTTGTGTACATCCACAGAGAGCAGCAGGTCAGCTGATCACAGCCTGTACACTAAGAAAATCTACTGGAGCTTTCAATAGAAATTATTATGAGTTGTGATTCTTTTCCCCACACAGAGGCATGACAACTGATTCCTCCACCTGCTGAATCCACTTTAACGCCTGACTGGACACATTTTCCTGTTTAAACACAAAGTCACCCTCTACAATGTAGGTAACACAAAATACAGCTTTCTTCTATTTTCCTTATTTTTCTTCAGATTCAAACTACAATTAGAATTAAAAAGTTTATATTCCCAACGACTGATATTATTTTATCATTATGTCAATAAAGCACAAGGTTCAGTTAGCTTTGCATAAAAACAGGTGGTAAAAATGTCCTTCAAGGAGATACTTATACTTTCTTACTAGTACATTTCAAACTTGGTACTTTTTTTATTTTTAAAACAGGATTATCTGCACTTCTACTTAAGTACAGAATATGTCCTTACGGTGGGTGGGTGGGGTAATTTATTGATTCATATACATATCATATATCATAAAAGCTCCCAAAAAGGAATGTGAAATATTTATTTTTCTGAAAAATAAGTTTGATGCCAGGGTTAAGTAGAGAAAAATGTTCTCGCCAGACTCAATTTAAAAATCTTCCGATTTAACTCCTTTCATTTTCAGTAGTCACTCATCTTTCTGGGCTCCACTGTGCACAGGTGATAGCCAATCACATCTGGTAAGTTCGGCATATATGTGACTTACAATAACGAAGCACAGCTCTTTAACAAGTAAAAACTCTTCATGCCATTCCTCCTTCATGCGCTGTCAAAGCAGTGTCCTCGAACAAATCAAAGGGACCTCCGACTACAACAAGACACGTTTGATTTAACAAACTTAACCCGAATTTGACACTAATGCATAGATATTCAATCAAAGCATGTCTGGTTTACTCGACACTGCACCTATTCAATAAAAAGCCAAAAAGTCTTAAATTAGTACTTTTTTTTCATTAAGTCTGGCAGAACTTTGGAATGTTGCTATCCGGCGGCAGGATGCGCATTTAGCCCTACAGCTCGCATTAACCGCTGACCTGTTGCTGCAGCCGGGCCGTGTACTCGGTCACAGGGTCTCCCATGTTCCTGAAGCTCTGCGGAGAAACTCTTCTGTCTGCTGGACTTGGAATCTCGTGGCTGACGAAATACAAACCGGAGGAAAGGAAGAAGCCCGTAACTTTACAGTCCACTTCCGGTGCCGGGGAGCGCTTCTTCCTCGCTGCATTGCGCCGGATTGAGAGCGCCTCCTGCTGTATCGGAGCTTCCAGGCGCGATTTCAGTGGATGTTTTAGCCAAAATGACTTTTATGTGTGTCATGTGGCAAGTATCACTAAAAACACAACCACTGGCACGATAAGACTTACAAAAGATACGAAGAATATAAGATGTTGGACTGTCATCAATTAACAGACATGCATTTGCAGCCGTGTGATGTTGCACTGAATGTGCATGGGAGTATTACCAATTATAAATTTAAACAATATGAAATCAATTTGATGAATATATAAAAATATTAACCCTCTCGAGGCAGGCGTTGCCGATTTGCAACAGTTAAAAACTAACAACCTGATTACCCCACATTCATATTTTATGAGTTTTTCATTTACTCAGAAGTACCACTGCAGGACTTGGTTGTGCATTAGCAACAAAAAACTTAATTTGAGCCTGAGAGGGTTAAAAAGATCAAATAGATGGTCTAAGGGGGATGTCATCCTCTCTCCTGCTGCTTGTTTGTGTGCGTAGTTTGATTTTTAGGTCAACTTACAAAGAGCTGCAGCTGTTAAACATTTTAACTTTTTTCTATCTACTAAATCAATGTATCACTGTTATCAGAAATGTCAGAAAATGAGCACAATAAGCTGGTGCGTTTGCATGAAGAAAATCTTGGTCTTGAATCTCTTTACCTTTTACTTTGGTTGGAGAGTGACTGGTTTTGTCTCAGGATCAAATCTTTGCTTTTTTGTAGATGATGTGATTCCGCTCATATCAGCTCAACAATACAATGTATTTAAAAAAATAATTTAAAAAATCACTTTTTTTCCTTCTCTCCAGTTAATGACTGGCATGTAGTCCTAAAATTGTCAGCATATAATAAAAGAAAAGGGCCCAAGTCCAGAACCCTGTGGTGTCCCACAGGAGTAATTAAGCTAATTAGACATGCAAGCCAACAATTTAATGTTTTCAGATACCAGCATTTTAATAGTCATCTTGAAACCTTTCTTGATCATTAGGATTTCAGAGAAATAAAATTGCCTTTATCATCTCTGCTATCATGGATTTCAGGACAGGAAGAAAAACACACAACACACGAGTAGAAGAGAAGAACTTTTTTTATATGTTGTGAAACTACAAAACATATCGTTTGTTTTTTGTGCTGGTGAAATATTTACAACTCTGGTCGACAGTACAGTGTCTGAGAATAAAATTCACAGCTTTTCAGGACTCTTACGATAAAAAAAAAAAAAAAAAAAAAAAAAAAAAAAAAAAAAAAAAAAACAGGAAAAAAGCACCCCACCCCCCCACCCCCTCAAAAAAAAATCAAAAAAAAAAATCACAGAAGTGCAATAAATACATGCAGTGTGTTTCTCGTAGCCGCCTGCAAACGCATCACCGGGTTTGAACAGATTCATCAGATAAAAGAAACATAAAAGCACAAAAAAAACAAAGATTTGCCTACGTGATGAAGAAGAATCATTTGTGGCTAACAGCATTTGTTTTTAAAAAACCTACATTCCTTCATCCAGATGTTTCAAATAAACGAGTCTTTTTTAATCAGAGGTTAACCGCTGAATTCCTATAGGTCCAACCTACTCGAGGAGACAGAGGACAAACAAAAAACGGCTAATATTAAAAAAATGAAAGTTCCTCCAAGTCTTCTTACACACCCACCGACGGCGGCTCGGTTGGACATTAAACAAAAACATCTCCAGAGCTGCAGTGAACCCGCTGCTCGCCCTGCAGCACGCCCAACTCCGTAACGTTCGTTCAGTTCTCAGTGCGAACAGTCGCCACAAACTGGAATCTACAGCTGATCTGCACTCTGAGAACAACGACGCATTTCTCGTTACCAGCTTTTTTTGATTTATATAAAAAAATACACCAGACGGCGAAAAAAACATGCAAAAGCTCACGAAGTGGTCTGATGAGCAAGTGTACGATTAAAAGTAACTTTTTGTAATTCCCCTCTGCAGACTAACTAAAATGTTCACCACCAGGGGGCAGTGTTTGCTGAATGAGTTGAGCCTTATTTCAATGATAAAAAATGCTCAGTGTGCAGATCAGGTCAAAGCAGCCGTTTCTTCATGTTGTCTTTAGTTAATTTTGGAACATTTACAGTATTTTTTTTAAACCCTGAAATTTACATCAAGTACCTTAAAAAGAAAAAAAAAAACATCTGGCTGCATCTTTACGGTGACATCAGCAGTCTGAGAGTAAACCAAGGGAAGTTTCAGGATGGTATTGACTGGCAGGTGTTAGCTTAGCTTTAGCACCACATGCTAGCAGCTCACTATTTCCAGCGTCTGATTTTCTGTCGTGCCGTAGCAGAGGGTAAAATTACAAAAACACCTCGTGACGAAGGGGTTTGAATCGTTTTACGTCAGAGGACGGGGATCAGCTTTTAAATCTTTGGTTTTGGTCTTTTTCACTGACTGTTCACACTGATGTCGGGCGATGGTGTCAGATTCACATCCTACCGAGGCTCTTTCAGAAGTCATTCGTGTCTCGTTATTTCAATCTTATTACCTTTTTTAAACATACATTCTAGAAAAATATATCTACTCCTACCTGGATGTGGTGGGACTATCTGACGCTTTAATGAGGACTGAAAACACTCACAGAGACTGGGCAGCAACAGGAAGTGGAGATGACGAAGGTAAACGGTCAAATTGGACAATAAAAAAAACCTCAATCATTTCCTAGAGCTGCTGTTTCTCTACACAGAGTTAAAAAAAGAAGAGAGAAACATCTGGAATGACAGCAGCAGCAGCTTGGTTTTCGTCAGCTACGTTCTTCTTTACACGGGGAATGGAAACACGAAGAACAAAATGCACCGACACCATCAGCCTGGTGGCCCAGCAAGAAGGAAAGTCGGACATTCAATAGACAGCCGCTTATTTCTGCATTCAGCAGCTACAGAGTGACAACATCAGGCAGTCACAGGCACTTTAGTGACCATTCAAGGCCCAGCGTTCATTTTTAGCTCCATTTTTGGTCTCCACCACCTGAATAAATCATCTGCTCCATGTTCAGCAGGTAGTTTATAATCCCACATTTTGTAATAATCTAGAATTCATGTTAAATGTTTTCCATGTGAAGAATTTTCCACTTTTTAAATCGTTATTTTGTAGAAGACTTCCTGACACATGCCAGTATGGAGGATCAAAACCGCCAAAATAATAATGGAACAGCAAGCAAATTAATAAATAAATTACAAATGTAAAAAACAATAAAATTCTTCAACATTCAAGGCATTCAATTATAAAATGTAAGACAAATATCTGTTTACTGACCTTCCCTGTATTTCTGCATAAAATTAATTTAAAAATATTAACTCATGTCACATTTTACAAATTAATAAATACCTACATGTATCTATTTTTTCGAACATTTAATGTCATTTTATTATTCACTCAGTCACATATTTTGTTTATTTTGGCACCTTCAATCCTCCATATGCTGAAAAGTAAAAAATTTCCTGTGCCAGATTTCTGTTTGCTTGTTTATGTAAACACTACATTAAACATCAGTTTATATAGAACGTGTCAGGAGTCTTTGGGAGTGACGTTTTTCTAATATTTACCAACTCCTGAGGCTCTTTAGCTGCTCAATGCATCGATAAGTTCACTGAATGTGTCTTCCTCCTCGTTTCAGAGCTTCAAACAGACTGAAACGAGGAGAAAAACAGTTTAAATAACCAGCTGAGGAAAAAAAGGCGACATGCTGAGTTTTGCTGGGGCACCACACTAACACCATCCAACAGTTTTAAGTGCAGAAGGTCCAGTTCTAATAGAACTGAATGCTTCACAAACATCCAGTTACAGGTGGAAACGTGAGGGCAGGAAGTCTGAAATTAAAACTGCAAAAACTGATCAGCCAATCAGAGAGAAGCGCAGGAGCTTATGAAGCAAAGCTGGACTTCCGTCTTCCTATTGGCTGACGACTCAGTTTTTTTTCAGTCGCTTCCAGTCAAACAATCATACGATCAATAACAAGTTCACAGTCATCAGAAATGCGTTTGAGATCACTTCCTGTTCCGACAATCAGAAATCGTTCCAGCGTGAGGCAAAGGCTTCCAGGCGTTTAACTTTCCAAAAACCCACATCAAGTTTTTCTTTTTTCAAACTTCTACCTCAACTTTCTTAAAGTGCAAACTACCCGATCAACTACCTGAGTGTTAGTGCGAGTTAGTGCTGTTTCTACACCGATGTGTTTGTGTGACGAGAGACGATGATTACGGATTACGCTCAGAGCGACGTGTCTCCTCTGAGCTGCTATCGTGCGGCCACGCTGACGTGCTACGACCACCTGTGCCGTCAGCACGACGTCGCTCAGTTTACAGAAAACTTACAGTTTGTGCCAGTGTTTGAAGATGAAGATAATCCTTAAGATTTCAGTCCAGGTCAGTTTGGCAGTAAGCGTGGCAGCTTATTTTTAACTCTTCGACTCACAGAGAGCAGCTATGCTTTAATAACAGTTCAAAAAAATCCTTCTTTATGGCACACTGGACCTCAGTGCAGCCGCTCAGTTAATCCTCTCTGTGAAGGAAGCTGTTTTAGCCCTTCCCCTTTGAGGAAGGCTTTCTTTTGGGTGGAGCCTGAGATGGCCATATTAGGGAAATCCCCTCTGTGTGACATCATATAGAACTAAGAGTAAAAAAAATGTGTTTGGACAGAATGTTGCAAAATGTTGCCGTCTTCCAGTCCTCTCGTGTATTTTAGTCCGTTTCACTGTTTACAGGACCATTTGTACATGGTACCAATTACTCCTGTATAGTATTTATGTTTATTAGTCTCTAATTCACTTTTTCTTCCTGACTCTTGTGCTGCTGTAACAGGTGAATTTCCTCAGTGATGGATGATTAATAATAAATATGCATCACACAGGAAACCTAAAGAAGTGCGGCGTTAGCTGAACACAAATGGTGCATTTTGGCTCTCTTTGCTCCAGTTTTGGTCTTTGTCACTTTAAAAATCCGGCTCTTATGTTCACAACATAAAAAAAGCAACTTTTAAGTGCCTCATTTTGCAATAAACTGTAGATTTAGTGCATTAAATCTCTTTATAAATGAGCCATAACATGTGATTTGTCTTTTTGGCCTCTGGACTTTACTACGCCCTCCTTACAGTTTAACAGCGTAGTAAAAACCTATTTAATCGACACTGGGCCATAAAAAACTCAAAGGTATGTTTAAGGTTTAAACAGGCACATGAATGACAATTGGACATGATCCAAAAACTTTCTCCTGCCTGATTGGACGGGATATAATCTGAGGTTATTTAACTTTACTTAATCTTTAGCGTCTCCTTAAAATGAATCTGACTGGATGCTTCCTGTTGAAATGCACCCTGGGAGTTGTAGCTGCCCTGCTCTAAGAAACAGCTGCTTGTTTTTTGTTCTGATCATTTAACCAGCAGAAACTTCACGTCTGTGTAGAAAATAACCTGACCTGGATTAAAAATCTTAAGGATTATAACTGCGGCGATTCGTCTGCACAAACATGTTTTAGTGTTTCACTGTTGTTGTGTAGGGAGAGCCGCATTTAAAAACAAATACAAAAATTAAACACTGTGCTGTTTGTCTGCTCAGAAAATACTCTAATAATAAAAAACTAATCCCACATCATCTGAAGGTCAATATTAAATATCTTTAAGCTGCAGCTGAATTTTCCTTTGAGTACCATTTTTGATTTTGTGCCATTTTCAGTACAAAAGTCTTCGTATGCTCATGTGTGACTGTATGATTCTGTGCTGGAATGATTTTAAACACCTACGAGTCTAAGAACAGCCGGTTAGTAACAGGAACAAAAACAAAAGTGGAAACGAGAATAAAAAAGGAAAAAAACAAAAGCTCCAGCAGTGCTATCGCTAATTTACAAACAAAGACTATCCACATTAGAAATGCTGAGCTCTTTAAAATTACTCTCTCCACGGTTTCAAAGGTTTTTTCCTACTTATTATTATTATTATTATCAGTGTTATTTTTATTATTTATTTTAATTCTTCATAATACCGCCAGACGTTTGCTTCGTCGGTGAGGGAACAGCAGGGAACGACTCCGGAAGGAAAATACTTTGAAATGCTTCTCTACACGTCGTCGGCCGGCAGGTCGGGGATGCAGGTCTTCGCTCGTGTGAAGAACGCCATCTTCTCTCTGAAACCACACACAGCAAACAGTGACATCATCATCGTGCGCGATGAGGTCGCCACCTTCAAACTGCCCCACGAATGAATCTGTGGTGGTGACGGTGCTTTTCGTACCTGAAGGTCTGCACCTCGGGGACCTCTTTGCGGCTCTGGCCTCTGATCTTGTGGACGTCCTTGGCTGCGGCCTTCATCATTTTCTCCACCCTCTTCTCCTGCTGCTGCTCCTCTCGAGTCTGAAGAGAACAAAAGCAGAGAGTTTTTATTCCAGCGGGACAACTATACTGTGACAGTAAAAAAAGAAAGAAAGCGCCCTCTGGAGGATTATCTGTTTCATCTGCACATTGAGAGCAAACGAGGACACAGACACTGATTTCACCATGTAACACGTGGACAGAGGCTCCACGGGAGGCCTGGACACTCGGCGGTAAGTTCACCTGTTTCTCGGCCTGCCTGAGGAGCAGCCGGAAGCGTTCATCTTCTTGGACCCAGGCGGGCAGCTCTTTCTGGCCCTGCTGCCTCGCCTTCTCCAGCTGCGTCTTCAGCTCCCGCAGCACCCGCAGTTCCTGCGCCAGCCGAGCCTGCCGCGTCCGGGACACCTGCAGGTCCAGCTCCAGGTCCAGAGAGGTCCGCAGCAGCCCGTCCAGACCTTTAACGGGTACAGGAGGCTGAGAGAGGATGAAGGGGCGGGGTTAAGTGCCGAGGACAAAACACAAATTTGCTGGAAAATCATCGACTATGAACTGACGAGCTCTTAAAAATGTGACAGACAATCTGACAGAAACTGAACGAGTGCAACAGTAACACCATCGACTTTCTGCCCGCTGCAGCACAAACTCACAACGTTACAGTGCTTCTGCTGCCTGGTTCTGTCAGTCAGACAGGCTGAGTTTGAGCCGAGGGCAAAGAAAGAAAAATGCATAAAGAAACAAACCCAAAGCTAACAGAATCCAAACATCAGGGTGAGGCTGATCTAAACTTAACCAGGGCTGGACCACAGCTCGACGCACACAGTCCTGCTACGTCTGCGCAGGTTTAAGTGCAGCCATCAGCGATGAAGCCTGTAAAGTCCTCGATTTCTGGAGGGGGCTTAAAAGTCACCCGAGTGTTTAATAACACCTCGACCTATTTGCAAATACTGTCACCAACACCTGCTGCCGTGGAGCCCCGAGAGGCTGAAGCTGCTGCCTCGACTTTAAATTAATAGAAACTGGCAAATGTCAGCGCTGCATTAAACATTCAGACGGTCATTAAATATTAAGAGTCGCTTCACTGGGAGTCGTTAGGAGGTTTAAAGCCTCACAAAATGCAAATTGTCTTAATGCGGTCAGCAAATGTGAAGGTATTACTTTCAAGAAGTCGAGAAGCAGGAGGATCAGAAAGACGAGAGAAACCGCACCACTGAAGCTGAAACACGGGACCCGAGCGTCCCGCGGTTCAGCGTGAACAGCCACGCTCACAGGTGAAGGGGGAGGGGCTAAAATGGCTCATTATAGACAGTGCTGCACCGAAGCTCAGTATCAGATAAACTAGGATTATTATGAACTGTGAATCATGCAAAGCTACTTTAGCAGAGTTACTTACTCAACAAATACCAACAAAGCTTCAATGACGAGTCTCACAAAGGAACTACTTTCTTTTGTCTACATCCGCCACACAAAGTAGGCGTGACGCTAGCTAATGTATAATGGTTCTGCAGTGATGCAGAGGTGAGGGGGCGGAGTCTTTACCCTCTTCATGCGCATGCTGCGTCTCTCGGAGGCGTTTCTGACAAACGGGGACTTCTTGGAGAGCGTGGAGCTGTCGCTGTCACTGCGGTTAATCTGCGAGGACAAAATCGAGCGTTTAATGAGGTCGCAGCGTCACCATCGGCGCAAATCCTGCGTAGGTCTCACTTACCCTGCAGATGTACTGGCTCTGAGGTCCGGGCGAGAAGGTCTTGGAGCGGATGATGGTGTTGCCCCTCATGAAGGGGTTCTGCTGGCGGACGTCCGGGCGCCGCTCTTTGGGCCGAACCACGGAGCAGTGATGCAGCGACGGCAGGCTGTCCATGCTCGTCTCCTTGTTCACCTGTAGGAGAGAACCGCAGCGGTAACGAGGACGCTCACCGACCGAGGCGCCGTCACAGTGTTAGTTCTAAAACTGCTTCTGCTTAAAAACAAACTCGAAAAAGGTCCACTGGAACGGGAAGTGATTCTTCTTCTTCCCCTGCTTAAATGTCAGCGTTCCCAATTATCAGAGAAGAAGAACTCTAAACACAAAGCGGCTCGTTGACCTTTAAGCTGAAATAAATGACGTTACCTTCTCTGTGATGGCGGCTGCCGCCACCGCCGTCGGAGGAGGAGGGGGTTTGGGCCCCTTCTCCTCATCTTCCTCCTCCTCTGCTTCCCATTGGCTGCTCTCGGGATAAAACTCATCCTCGTCCTTCAGAGGCCCCGCCCCCTCCGTGCCGTGCCCTTCGTCGTCCTCGAACATGTTCGCCTCCAGAGGCTCGCCATGCCTGATGAAGACCAACCACAGACACTCGTTCTTACTCGCTACGCCACCATCGTCTTCCTCAGACTGAACACGAGGCTCGCTCATAGTTTGCATCACTCAGGTTTTCATCCTCAACACTCACCACTCGTCATCCTCAGGCCCTCCGGCTCGGTCGCCGCTGGAAACGTGAGTCTGAAACACAAACAGTTGCATCAGGACTTTTTAATCCTCCGATCACTTCAAACATTTTTTAGATCATTCAACAACGACATCCCCGTCACACTCGTAACACACACAGCATTTATGTCCCGAACAGTTTTCCACACTGATTGTGCAGCAGTAGAATTCCTCTTATATCCCTACTGCAACCAACATGGCGTCTTACTTTCTATCCCTTTAATCTGATTTATGTATTTAGATTGAAGCTCGGTGATGGATATTCTATTCTATTCTATTGCATTCTATTCTGTCTCACTCACAGCTCCACCTTTAAAGACTTTTTGACCTTTTTATTGACTCGTGTATCAATTTAATGACAGAAATGTGTAAAATTGTAACTGTTACTTTTCCTCTTCCTTCTTCATGTGCGCACAAACGACTTTATTATTATGATCAATATTTCCTCACAGGGACGTTAAACTCATGTTGTGACTCACTGAAAGCATCTAAATGTGAAAAAAGGACATCTGGGAACTAAAATGAGAAGAATTAGTTTTGAATGAAACTGGAGAGGAAACGAAGCACGGCTCATTTCTGGGCCGCTCGCCGGGCTTCTGCTGACCTCGGGCAGGTAGACACGACTCAGCAGGTTGTACCACTTGGTGCACTTCTCCTCCGAACAGCTGACGTCAGCGAGGCTGATCTGAGCTCCCGCCTGCAGCGAGGAAGAGGAGGAAGGGAGTCAGAGAGAGCGTGAGCATGTATTAAACTGTGTGTGACAAGAACCTCGTTAACAGCTGATTAATTAACAGCTGATGACCTTTAACAAACAAACAGTGAGATCCTCGATGATTAGTGAACATTATCTTCTTTTTTTTTTACAGTGACGTACGAACTGAAACTAACCAGACACTCTTCGTGGCCCGACTTGCCGGTGTCGCACACGTCCACCCTCAGGGTCTTCTGCCGCAGTGCACTGTGGGATATCTGCATGCCAAACACCTCGTTGAACTCCACGGCGTCTCGAGGTGGCGAGCTGCGTGTTCGGAAGAGGCAGCGAGTGGCCTCCACGCAGGGAAGCACCGCCACGCGTACATACCTGCAGGAGGAAAGGGCAAAGGTCACGCGATGATGTCGCGATGTAAATTACAGACTGTACACTAAAGATGGACGTAGCCTCCATGGCATCAACCTCTGGTTTAGTTTTTTTACTTTGGAGAAAAAGTTTGTTTACTTTTTTATTAACTTTATCACTTCATCACCTAAAGGCGGAGCTAAAGGCGGAGCTAAAGGCGGAGCGGCTTGGCTGTGTTCTGGGATTATACTTACACGTATTTTAGTTTTCTAACGTTCATTATGATCTCAGTAAATAATCATTTTAGTTTTAGATCCGATTCCATAAAACTGCCCCGTAGAAAAGAAAAAACGACCGTATTGAGTTTTTCTGTTGAGCGCCTCAAACACACGGCAGCGTGGCAGAGGCCATTAAACCTGCTGAGATACGTTCGAGGGACAGGAAACACAGACTGAGACTTCGTACATTTTCTGGTCGGTCGGCAGACAGAGGGCGCTGCAGTTGGACAGCTGCATGACGTAGACTGTGAAGCGCCGGTCTCTGGCCTCGTAACGGAAGCCGAGCTGCACCTGAGGGCAGCCGGGCGCCAGGCGGTCCTCGTAGGAGCTCAGCAGGAGGTCAGCGGGGAGGCCGGGTCTGCGGGAAACAGCACGCAGAGTTATTTTAACCTCCAGCTGCAGTTATGGGAAATCCGTCCAATGCCACTCATTTATTAACAAACTGTAACTTTAAATTTCTGAAACAAAGAGCCAGACCAGGAAAAATAAAAGCGTAACAATACGAGGACAAACCTACGACCTCAAATGTAAAACCTTCGTACTTGCGCTCTGACGGCTCGTACACGCCACTGTCGCCGGCGACCGACTCGTCGGACACGGCCGAGGTCACCCCAATCTTCTTTGGCCCCGCCCCCGTCCCTCGCAGCTCGGAAGCTGAGCCTAAAAAAACCAAAAGAAGAGAAATAAATAAATAATTTGATGTGTAATTGTAATCTCCATCAGCTTTGCACGAGTCACAGTTCAAAATCATCCTTCAATAAAGCGCTGAAAAGCAGAAACAGCGACCACGTGTGGCGTCTTTGACTCCCGCTCGTGTTATTTATGTGCAAGTACAAAACTAAAACGTCCAAACTGTAGAGAAAAATGATGAAACCTGAACACGAGTCTATCTGATCCCTGAGCTGAGGTCAATGAAGTGAACCAATCAAACCTGGCCTGGAGCTGCACTGCAAACAACACATTCAAACTAATATAATCAATAATCTGTGGGCTGCATGTGATGTGGACCTGAGAAAGGCTTCAGGCTCGTGTGGCTTCGACCTGATAAGAGCAGGAAACCAGACACCAGGTGCAGCTTTCACCTGAGCCTGACTCTCACTGCCGCTCTCTCATTAACCACACAAAGGTGCAACAAGCTGCAAAAAACGTAAACATGTAAAAAACTGTTTCTTTTTTTATTTGAATTAAACTTTCTTTTTCTCCTCGTCTGACGTTTTCTTGATTGTTAAACACATTATTCAACAACACCGACCGTCACTGAAGTTAAAAGTGTCTCTCGCAGCGGCGTTATTTCATATTTTAACTATTTAAGTGAAACTCAAATAAAGAAGTAAATGGGGGGAGGGAGATGAGGGTGGTAGGGGTCACGTCCAGCAGAGATTTGGGGAATTTTTGCCCATTAAAGCCCTCGTTGCTGGTCCCAGTCAGTCTGACATCATGGCGGGACGTCTGCGAGCTCAGGTGGAGGCAAGAGCGCCACGAAAGACGTCGGAGCCGACAGCAGATCAGGAGAGAGACAAGCCGGTATCAAAAGCAAAGGTAGGTCAGCGCTCAGGTGCAGAAAGGGGCCTGGGAGGGGAGTGAAACGTGAAAACATCACATTCATCGACTCACTCGGTCCTAAAACAAACACGTCAGGCCCACAGGCCCCGCCTGATCCAAAACACAAGACAAGACCCTCAGAAGTGTCCTTCTAAACCCTGAAAATGTTGCTCTCTCCGGTATTTATGACGTTACGAGGGATCAGAAATAAGAACTGATCAATACACCGGCACCAGGCTATCAGCTGATATCGATATCGTATCAGCATCAATAACAGCCAATAAAAAAAAATGTAAGAGTAGAAGAAGAAACGGGAGAAACATGCGTGAACCGTGTTACAGGTGTTGATGTTGCATAATTTGTCCTGTAGAGGGCGCCCTGCTGCTGCTGCAGGCTGGCACAGCGTAAACGAGCAAACGAGTAATCCAGCAAAACAGGATTAAACCCAGAAAGGACTCGTTAATAACGACACTAACAAGCGTCAGGCAAAGATGTTTGTGTTTTATGTCCCTGAAATGTCCCACATATCGAATGTTTTAGTCGCCAAATACAAACGTCAGCCTAAAAGTCCTGCATCTGTCGGCCGCATCAGAAATACAGGAAAAAACCAAATGATTGTACTAGGGCTGCTCGATTATGGCAAAAATGATAATCACGATTATTTGACGATATTTATTTAACCCTTTAAGACCTACTATAGAACCAAGTCCACCAGAGCTTATATTATTTTTTTTTACATGCTGTAGTGCCATTTGTGGGAGCATTTCAAGTTGCTATACATCAATACAACTGTTGTAGCCCATATTTTAATAATATGTATGCATTAAGTCCATAGTAACAACATTAATTGCAAACAAGTGCAATAAACTACAAAAAAATTGAAAATCGTTTTTGTTTTTTTACATATATTTCTACTTGGAGAAATTTAAGAGGCTTATCCCTCAAAACTTTAAATACAAAAAAAGTTGCAAAAAATAGTTTACAACAACAGGAAATTTATTTTGAGTGTCTTCATAGTTTTATTTTGGAGATACAGCAATTTTTATATACTGCAGGAAAAACAAAAAAACAATCCTATGATGCAAATTTGCAAAGAAAACAGCAGGTGCATCAAAATAAACTATTTCCAGCAGTGCAATTCAAGTCCTAAGCATCCCAGCAACTATTCAGAAAAGTCAAACATGACTTATAAAAACACTAGTATAGGCTTTTAAGGCCTACAAGTAAAAAACTAGATTTTCTGCGAAAATGACGTCACTTCTGGTTTCGGGCAGGAAATGCCATAGTTCCCGTTGACGTCTTTTTCAAAGTAGGAAGTGTTAAGAACAGCTGATGGATTGGCAAAGCGTGTTTCTGGAATATTATGTTTTTGTTGCTGCAAGTGCTTTTTATGCACTTTTTGCAAAGCTTTATGTGGAAGGAAACCGTGACCGAGGACAAGCTGATGGCATCAGATGTAAGTACAACTCCTCCGGTTTCATATGCAAAACAAATTATTGCGCTAGCTTACACGGTTCAGGTTCTACAGGGATTTAAAAATGGTTAGGCAAAACGGAGCGTGCAGCTCTGACCGGCTTTAAAGGGTTAACAATAACAATGTATTGAATAATGACTTTAAAAAAGAATATAAAATAGTGTGCAAATACTGATAACAGTGCAAATGTTTGCAATATAAGAAATAAATGAAAAATGTAAACATCTATGTTTAGTGAACTTTGCAGTGTTGCTCTGTGGTGCAGCTACTACATCCTAGCAAAGTTTACACACTGTGTCTACTTGATCCACGTCTGACTCCGCGAACCCATAATGTTTCCACACCACTGAAGTTTTGTTTTTTTTAACCTCTTTTCAACCAACAGCAGTCACTCTCCTCTCCAAATAACTTCTGCTTAGCTTTCCGAGCTTCCCTCGGGTCCTCTTAATTGTTGTGACACGTGTTCGAAATGCAGAGCAGTGCGCTCGATTTACCACACGGAGCAGCGCGAGAGTAAAGCATGAGGGAGGAGCTAATAATCGGCTCAGTCGTTTTTAATGATTGTTGAAAGCCCAGATCGTAATCGTGATTAAAATTCGATTAATTGAGCAGCCCTAGATTGTACTGAGAGGATGTAGGAGGAGAAGATGAAATATCATAAAAAGTCTTTTTTAAAGACTGAACTGATTTACCTGGAAAAAAAGTTTTTCAATTATTTAGTTTTAAAATGAATAAAAGTCAAAATTATACCTGAAAAATTAAACTGGAGCAATGAAGCGATCACAGCGATCACGTCTCCTGATGCAGAGAACGAGCTTCAGACTGAACAGCTGCAACCCTAAACCCTCCAGACCTTCACCTCCACCCTCCTCATCGCTGCCAGCAGCCGTCAGGTGTCACACACAGTATTAGATTCCTCATCACGCACACTGAGAGGAGGAGGAGGATTCCTGGAGTCGGGCTTTCTAATAAAGCTTTTTCTCTGAAGTCAAGAGCGGCCTCTGTCACAGCGACTCGTTCCTGACTATGTTTTACAAGTCAGACCTGACTGCTGAGAGGCTCCACAGGTCTGATGAAGAGTCACGTTTCCACTCAAACACGCAGCTTTCATTCTAGTTTCTGATGGCGGGCGGTTATAAAGACGGCTCGCTGTCACCTTAGCAACACTGAGGATTAAAAGCGTTCGTCCTCAGTGAGATGAAGACGTGCTTCCAGTTTTTGAAGCCTGAGGAGTTCGTGTGATTGCTGATGCAGCAGGACTCAAAGTGAAACCAGAATCAGTGACTGGGATCAACAACGACTAAAAACATCAGACAGATCGTGCTGTGTAATCGTGCTGCTTCCTGTTTACCTTTGACCTCCTCGCCCAGCCTGCCGTGGTGGTTCTGCTTCTCCTCCGGACCTCCCTGCTCCTCCTGACGCTGCTCCTCAGAGTCCAGCCTGAGCTCCAGCTCGGCCAGCCTGCTGTGGAGCTCCAGGTCGAGGCCCAACCCGGAGCCCCCCGACTGGCCCGCGAACGTCTCGCCTGACAGGAAGGTAGCGTCCGTGACCAGGGGCGAGCACGGCGGAGACAGCGAGGAGAGAGACGAGCGCGGGGATAAGGAGTTCATTGAGCGCGGGGTTTCTGACAGTTTGAGGGCCTGGATCCTGGAAGGCTCCGCCCCCACGCCAGCCCCTGTGCCTCCTCCAGTGTCTCCTCCTGTGCCTCCCGACTTGCTCTGGGGTCTCCCGGCGTCTTTTGTGCCGCTGCCGGTCACCACCTCGTGCTCGTGTATGGTGGTGATGGAGCTGGAGGGCCGGTACCCTCCCTGGACGCCCTCCTGCAGGAGGCTGTCCAGCTTGTTCTGGAAGTCCGGGTCGGCCAGCTCCGGCTGCTCCAGGTAGATGTCGGTGAAGCTGAGGGAGGAGGTGGAGCCAAGGCTGGAGGTGGTGGTCAGCGAGCCGCGGCTGGAGGTCAGAGAGCCTCGACTGCTGCCGGACGAACAGGAGAGGGTGCTGGCCGACAGGCTGAGGAGGAAGAGGGAGGAAGTTAACCACAGACACAATGACGCGTGAGTCGGCCGATCGGTGCAATCGTGTCAACGTTGGAGCGCGAGTCTGTTCACCTGCATCTACAAACACAAGTCCGTTTCTCGTATCTGCGGCGCTACGTCTCAAACGTTAACCCGCTGCTCGGCTTCATTATGATTTCAAAAACATATTTAAAGAGTCTTGGTTGACGTTTGTTTGCTTTGCTTCTTTTCTTTGAATAATTGAAACGACTGTGGACAATAAAACTCGTTTTTTGACTTCTTCGTGATAAATAAAAGTCGTCCTCGTCGCTCCACCTCGGCCTCTGGACGACGAGCTAATTAAAGCGTGACGGCTCGTTGACACGGACGCGGCGCACTTCCTGTCCTGTTACATCCACCAAACTCGGGAGGAGACGGAGAAGCCGACAGCGCTCAACTTGTGGTGTTGAGCTTCATACGGCACTGATTTTATATGAGCAGAATAACAACACAAACGCTTTCATCCGTGGGAAACGTTCGGCCGCTAAAGGTCGAATATTTCCATCTGTCGACCGCCCGCTGAGAGCGAGCAGAGAGAAATCTGTCCCACCAACGAGAAACAAACCACGACACAAACATTTAACAAAAACACTTCTGCTCCACTGATCCACATCATTTTTCTGCATCCTTATTTCTACTTCATGTCTTTTTATAAATAAGGTCTTAAAATGAGTGACACAGAGCACAGAGTCCGTTTTACGTTCCCTTATTTAACGCACTTTTATGTACTTCCTGTTATTTCTGCCCATTTGGTTTAACATATTCAATGCCTGATTCTGTCTTGAGCCTTTATTTTGAAAAAAAAACTGTGGAAACTGAAACTTCAGTCTCACTTCTGCAGATTCTTCCATCATTCTCTGAGTAATCGTAAACTTTAAAGACGTGTTAATTATCTTTAATGAGCTCAACGAGAAGCACGAACCTCTTGAGCTGCGTGTGCAGCATGGTGGCGAGGCGAACGTTCTCCTCCAGCTCTCTGACCAGCTTGTTCCTCTTGCAGTGAAGACGAAGCCTGAAACAACAAGAACACAAAGACGCCGTTTAGTTTCTGCAGTACAGAAACAAATCGATGCCGACAGCAGCTCCTGAACGCCACACAATCTGCAGCAGTTAAGGAGATCTACAGCCTCGGTGCAAACAGACGTCTCCCTTTTACACATTTTTATTTAAACCTCTGACTCCTCGCCATCAGGATCAGGACACCATGGAGACACCGCCATCTTCTCTCCGCATGTTAACAACCCCTGCAGCAGGGTGACGTCCTCCCCGAGGCCGCTTACAGCAGGTCGAGGTCTTTCTCCGTCCTCTCGCCACCGTCTTATCACAATAAAGCTAGGACATCTTTTATTTACAGTGTGTGCTTCTCCACCAAAGGCATTCAGATAGTTTTAACTAGTAAATGTGCATTAAGGACATTTCAGGAGCTGTTAAAGGAGCTGCAGAAACCCTGCTGTCCACATGGAGGCAGACCTGAGCAACACTCAGACTGAACCGCCCAAAATCTTTAACCAGAACCTGCAGGTGTGTGTGAGTCTGTGTGTGTGTGCGAGTGTGTGTGTGCGAGTGTGTGTGTGTGAGTGAGTCTGTGTGTGCGAGTGTGTGTGTGTGAGTCTGTGTGTGCGAGTGTGTGTGAGTGAGTGTGTGTGTGCGAGTGTGAGTCTGTGTGTGCGAGTGTGTGTGTGTGTGAGTGAGTCTGTGTGTGCGAGTGTGTGTGTGTGAGTCTGTGTGTGCGAGTGTGTGTGTGTGAGTGAGTCTGTGTGTGCGAGTGTGTGTGTGTGAGTCTGTGTGTGCGAGTGTGTGTGAGTGAGTGTGTGTGTGCGAGTGTGTGTGTGTGAGTCTGTGTGTGCGAGTGTGTGTGTGAGTCTGTGTGTGCGAGTGTGTGTGTGTGAGTGAGTCTGTGTGTGCGAGTGTGTGTGTGTGAGTCTGTGTGTGCGAGTGTGTGTGTGTGTGTGAGTCTGTGTGTGTGAGTCTGTGTGTGCGAGTGTGTGTGTGTGCGAGTGTGTGTGTGTGTGTGAGTCTGTGTGTGTGAGTCTGTGTGTGCGAGTGTGTGTGTGTGCGAGTGTGTGTGTGTGTGAGTGTGTGTGTGTGAGTCTGTGTGTGCGAGTGTGTGTGTGAGTGAGTGTGTGTAAGGAGGGGAGAAGGTGGACTAAAAGAGGTTCTTGTTCTTTGTGTAGCCTCTCAGGTTACAGGAACAGGAGACGCGACACAAAGAGAGTCTGAGCTCAGGTAGAGTCTGACCTGAACAGGAACAACAGGAGTCCTGTTGGAGGATGAGGAGGAGGGGAGGAGGGGGGAGGGGGGGGGGGGGGGGGGGGTGTGTGTGTCTGTGGTATTCAGGAAATGTGAAAGTGGTGCTACGAGGCTAGGAGGGATGCAAGGGACTGATGATGATGAGGAGGAGGAGATACTTTATGCTCTTTGGGGAGGGCTGACGTCTGTAAAGGTCAGCTGCATCACCAGCTGGTAAGGACATAATGACGCTGTTTACACACACCTGTCATCACCTCTGACCTCCTTTACGCTGCAGCTGCTTTTTAGTTTCTGCAGATGCGTTCAGGAACTGAACCAGCAGGTGATTGATGAGGCGCTGCCGTACCATCGGGCTCTTCGTACAGGTCGCCACCGCGGATCGGCTCCCGGCCCCGCACCCTCTGCAAGTGCACGAGGTTCCTCATCGCTGCACCGTGCATGACGAGCAAAGGTAAATCACTCCCCGCTGGAGTTGCATAACACACTGAAGCTTGCGACTTTGTGCTTTTTATACCGCCTCCAGATTACAGGAGGTACACCGAGGGAACCGCACTCACAGCGAGTCCTGCTGCAGCAAACCACAGGAGGAGGAACGGTTATCCGAGCACGGCGAGAAAATACAAATGTCACACAGCAGGACGCTGACAACCTGCAGAGTATAACCTGCAAACCCAGACGCTCCCTGAACGCATCACACACAAACAAAGTTTTGGTAAAGTGCGTTTTCACACTAACGACTGGAACCGAATCCTGGTTCTAAAAGTCAGGAAAAAATGAAAGCCGCGGTGTCAGGGCGACGTTTCTCTGGGTTTTGAACTGTGATTTGTAGCATCAGCGCTCACCCTGCAGCACACGTTCTCATTACAGTCGTACATTAATCACCTTTCGGTCAGCGCCTTGCTCTGGTTGTCTCTGGCGGCCTGCAGGTCTCGCTCCAGCCGCTTCTTCTCGGACTCCAGCTTTTCTGCGTCGTTGGGCTGCAGCCGCTGCCGCGGGCTGATGTACTGCAGCTCCTTCAGAAGCTCCTCCTTCTCGTTGATGAGGATGAGGCGGTCCCGCTCCGGGTCCAGCAGCCCCGGCCACGCCTCGCTGTCCAGTTTGGCGATCTGCACCTCGATGGTGGCGATCCTGGGAGAGGAAACGAAGGAAACAGTTTCAGCTTTTTCAACAGAAATCGTCGTTCCAGCCGTAAACAAACGTAACACTTTAAAATCACCTTTAAGCCCAGAATCAGGCAGATTATCAGGAGCAAACAGACTTTAAATGCACCGCGACGTCTCGCTAGTTTGATTAAATCTCACATTTTTGTGCTGAAGATCAGACTTTTTCATCTCAGAGATTCTGAGGGGTTTCCTTCTAGTATCCACCTCCAGCCTCATCATTATCTAAGCTCTACATTTGAATCAGCTGACAGTGTGAGAGACAGACGGTTACCTTCTCTTGGCCTCCTCGTACTTCAGGCTCACACGAACCTTCTCGGCCAGTTTGTTGCTGCTGGTCATGAACTGAATGAAAACAAACGAAACAGCACGATGGAGGTTAAAACTCAACGTTTTACTGACAACACTCATTGAAAACTGTGGACAGTGTGAGATTCCACTTCCACTAATGTTCCACAACAACAGCGTTCGACCATCTTGACACACCAAAGAAGAAGAAAATAATAAAGAAACTAGCTGTGGAGTTATAAGTACACTGGATTATATTTGACAATTAATTATGGCGAACAGTCATAATCAACGAGTTCATGCCCTGGACGCGCTCCGGCTCGGGGCTTACCTCGGCGGGGATGTCAGTCTGCGAGCTGGCGTCGGAGTAGAGCCGCGGGACGGACAGGTCGGAGTTTGCAAGCGAGGTGCTGCTGCCCCACAGCTCCTGCTGCGAGCCCGAGTCCAGCCGGAAGCCGTCCTTCAGCACCGCCAGTTTCTGCAGGAACACGAGACAAACAGAGAGGGCGCCGAAGGTCACAGCACGAACCGCAGCGAGGAAAGAGGCGCAGAATCACGACAGCATCGCAGAACGCTTAACAGCCACCATCATCATTATTGTTACTATTATAAACCTTTAAAACCTGCGCATATATTAAGTGAATTACAATTTATATTTGTGATTTTTTACATTATTTCAGTATAAAAATCACAGAAATAAGACCATCGGATTCCACCTGCGTGAGGGTGTCAGTCAAATGTTTGTGAGCCCGACATTCCTTTCAAATGCTCTGACCTTTGCCCTCGAGTCGTATTCGATCATCGAGGAACTGAAGCTGAGAATCATTTATGAACTGCAGCCTGTTTGCACAGAGCCACTCAGTGAACGCCGCTCAGGGCAAAGGGCAGGCGTGAAGGAGCGACTCCTGAAAGTGAAAAAGGAGACGCTGCTTCTGTGTTTGCGCTGCAGCCGCCAAAGCCGCCGCGTTCCCTTTCATCTTTACGACCACGATGAAGTCTGCGGTTGGTTTTGAAGTGTGCTGAGGATTGCAGCTTATCCCCGCTTTTATATGGAGCAGAAAAATAACACTACACCTCCATCATTACAGCATTTACAGTCCCACAGTTTTATCTGCAGCTCCATTAACGCGTGAAACGCTTTAAATCAGCTTCTCTGCAGATCTGTCAGCTGAATGTTGGTGCTACCAAATCTCCAGTTTAACCACCTCCCGAAGGCGTTGGACTGGATTCAGATGTGGGGACTGAGGAGGTCACTGATCTCCTGCCCCGTCCTCCTGCAGTCAGCCGTGAAGAGCCGAGAACAAACCAACACGACCGGACGACTGGGCGGGACTGAGGTATCCAACGAGTGCCTCCCCAGACCTTCACTGATCCACCAAACCGGTCACGCTGAACGACGGTACAGGCAGCGGAACGTTCTGCAGACCCTCCCACGTCTGACACATGTGCTCAGGGTGTGGCCTCTGCAGGGTCCAGGTCACCTCACGCTAACAGCAGCGAAAAGACATCAGTGTGAAACTGTCCCTGTGGGGTTTGTGTCATCATTGCCCCTCTGGTGCACCTTGTTAACGTCATTCAGGCCAAAGCAGCTGAACCTGATCAACACCCCCCTCTGATACTAACTGATGACATCAGACTTCATGCAGTACTCCGATAGAACAGGATTCCTTTAATATTTGTGTATATACTCATATTCAGAAATAAATGTGTGGTTGTTGACATGCAGATATACGATGTGAACACACAGGAACAGACAGCCTGACAGACGGAGCTGTCAGCTGCAGATGGTAGAGGGGGAGGAGGAGGGAGACGGACAGAAGGAGGAAGGCAGCAGATTATTTATTATTGAAGACACTTTCCTCCTCCTACCTCCGAAGCAATCTGCAGTCACAGCACACCTGACGGTTTCCATCTTTATGTGCGTTGCAGTGAATTTTTACAATGATGCACTTCAAATGCACACGTCTGCACCCTCAGCTCCGTAAATTACCACCGCATACGTTTTCAAGTCGTTGCATCAGAGCCCAAAAAACGACACATCAAACACTCGAAGTTCGTCTCAGTGCACACCTGTAAACAAACCCTCATCCTCTTCATGCAACTTTAATCCCCCTGCAGCCGTGGAGGAAATATGGACGAGTTAATGCTGTAATGAAAGGACGTGGAGGAGCGAATGGGTGCCGGGAGATACCGGCGTAGGTCGCCATGAGGCCGTCATTCATGCAAAACAGAGAGCTGCAACCTGAAGCTGTGGGAGAAGAAAAGCAGACCGAGCGGCCTTTAAACGGCTCGACGCACATGACGGCCTGCAGGCTTTTTAAAAGTCACTTCAGCATGAGTCACTGTGTACATAAGATACAGTACATGAAAACAAGATAACAGAGAGCCTGGAGCTGAAGCTACACTTCAGGACTCGAAACCTCTTTAAAAATGCCTTAGATTAAAATTAGGATCAACTTTTTGTGCAAACACTGATACCAGTTTAATATTAACAGCGAGGAAGAATGAAAGCTTTGTTCACGTTAACGATAATTAAACACGTCCGTTTGCTCCTCGAGCATTTCAGCAGCAGCTTTAACCACCGACTTCTCCGCGAGTCAACCGAGCTTTCCATCTCTGTAATCCAGCCCGCCGTCTTCTTTTTACCTTCAGGTTCCTGCCGCCGTTATCACCCCGGTCCCGTGGTCACCAACGGGTGGATCGCGGTCCAGGTCTGGACCCATCTTTACAGGCCCAAGTTATTTTAATCTTTTGTCTTTATGTTGGTGTACGTACAGACGAATGCTTTCTAACTGTGTCCATGTGATGCTGCTCGGCCAATCACATCAATTACAGAGTGAAAACAGAAAAACAGGAAGCAGCTGAGCTAGTTCACTGTAAATGCATCTGATGGAATGAATAAAACCTTAGAGGAGCCTCTCCTCATCATTTAAATGTATGTTCTTTGTTGTATTTGACAGCTCGACTGCACGCAGACACTGAATTCTTTAAGGCTGTTTTCCTCTAACCGGACCTCCTTAAATCGTAGCTGGATCCCCTTCCGTTGGCCGATCTGGGTCTAACCCTCAGACACTTGTATTTTTAATGCTTTACGTGAGCGCTGACGTACCAGCCCGACGTTGCCTCGCGGTTTTAACGGCGTCAGTCTCTCCCACTTTACGATGACGTAAACAGCTGCACCGCAGACGTTCAGACGTTCTCTTACAGAGTGAGAAATGCCAATCACATTACTGCGATACAGAATGACACCTGATCGTTTTTTTATCGATGTCTTTGACTGAACTCACACGGCGTCTGCTCCACGAACACTTTAAGACCATCGCCTCTGTCCTCGTCATCATGTGACACACGTGCACAGCTGTAAGATGAACATACACGATGCTCCCAGCTCGTCTAAACTGAACTCAAACCTTTAACCAAGCCAAGCAAGGTCCTGCGTCCAAAAGTTCAGCTGCACATTAACATCGAGTGCCCTCCTGTCGATGAACGAAAGGAGGAAGAAAGACGATCCAAACGCCGGCGTGAAGCACATAGAGTCAAGGTAGCTCTGTGGTTTTATTTTGAAAGGTCACGCTCTGCTGAAACATCCTCACAGCTGTCTGATGTTTTTAACCGTTTATTGGTCCAAACTGCTTCTTCACGCAGGTCGAGGTAGATTTATCATCTCTCCAGACGTCCCAGAGTAACTGTTAAGCCTTAAATAAGCCATAAATTACACGTGAAGCCTGCTGAGAGTGTAAATGTGAGAAGTCCAGGCTTCCAACCCAGGTTTACCTGCATGAGCTCCTGCTTCTCCTTCTCCCCGGAGCTGATGGCGTCGCGGATGGAGCGCACCTCGCTGAGGATGGCCTGGGCCTCCTGCAGCCTGTAACCGGACGGGCTGTTGGACACCTTCTGGTCGATCCTGGAGGAGGAAGAGAAAGAGGAGGAGGTCAGTTAGGATTCAGATTGAAAACCAAGTGAGCAGATGTTTGTTCACTTAGCGGCGCTTTGATACAGGGCCAGAGGAAGCTGCTCAGCGCGAGCACGTCACTCAGCAGTCTTCTCACCTTCGTGGTTTCCAGTAAAAACACGTCATTCAACATCTATCGGCTCTGACTTTTTACTCTTTGTGGCGGAGCGATACACATCGAGTGTAAATGTCAGGGACGAGGTTTGGATTCCACTCATGACTGTAAATCGAGCTCCGATGAACCGAGCTTTGATTTTTCCCCCAGTTTCGGGTACGTCGCGCCCCACAGGTGACCTCAAGTGAGTCAGAACTGAGGAAGCCGACAGGGCCGCGTTCTGACATTAAATCGGAATAATTGTGTGAAAATACGGTCAGGATGTTCTCCCACAGCCGTCCTTTCTCACAGGCATCACAAGCTCAAACGCAACCTTACTGCCCTGCAAAAAATACCATTTACTACGCCATAAATGTGCAACAGTCTTGTATAATTTAGATGGATTCATGAATCCCACGCCTTGTTTCAGATTAAAAGACTCTTCCAGCTCTACTGGTGAACTCATAACTGTCACTGGTATGAATGAGTCACCAGTTTATCAGCCAACGTGTAATCAGGCTGTTGACTACATCAAACCCTCTGCAGGAAATGGTGTGCGGTTTAGGCGCAGGAGCGTCGACCCGGACAGACACGCACGCGCCTCCGGTGGCCGGTCTCTGAATCGCTCAGGGAGGCGGATGAGGTCCAAGCTTCGCCTCGCTGGGTTTTTATTTGTTTCTGTTTGTTTTTGCTGTGAAACAGCTGATGGGACAGATGTTTTCAGGACACGAGTGAGTGTTTAATCCCTCCTCTAATCGGCCCACAGACCTTTCAAATATGATGGATGATTTATTCTATATTTTAATGAGAAATTAAAAATAACAACACGCTCAGTCGTGGTTGATATTTTAAAAACCGAGCAGTCAGTGGAACGTGTCAGTAATTCCAACTCTAACTACGACGAGGGTCGACTGTTGGTTCAGGTGAGACGCAGGATCCCTGTCACGGCTGCGAGTGCAGCTTGGCTGCGCTCGGAGGCGGCGGCAGCAGCCGTGTAAAGCCCGTCATCGGTAAGTCATGCATGCATCTGAACAACCGGCCCGTCCACATTCTTCAGAGAGGGAAGAGGGGAGGGAGGATCGGGCCGAGAGGGAGCGAGCGAGCGAGGGACAAAACAAGGTAGAGCAGGAATGAGGAAGCGAGCAGGGAGGGAGGCACTTGTCTGTAACAGGCCGAGGGGACGAGTAATCCTCTGAAATCCCTCTCAGACATGGACTCATGTTCACTGAAAGCAGCGCTTCAGATCTAAACGTGCACACACACACACACACACAGATATATATATAATTTATACAGGAGAGGAGTGTTTGCTGAAGGGGGAGGTGCCCTCTGGGTTTTTATGGTCGAGGGAGGTCACCTGGACCTGGTCATCAGCAGGTCCTGCTCCCGTTTGGGTAAACACGCCTGACACATGTGACCTCAGACTCACGTCCGCACTGAAACCCGCAACTTTAAGGCTGATTCACGGTCACGAGCACGTTTGACTCCGAGTCCTGTCAGACGAGGGCGGGCAGCTCATGAAAATCACTGTGCTTGGTAAGTAGTGTAGTATATTAATCAGCTGTAATCTTTAGGCTCCACCTTTAATACCAAATACTTCAATTTACTGAACAGCCATTTATCAATAAACTGAACACATGTATTCAGATTAATCACTTCATATATTTGGACTATTCTCCTTTCAGCTCAGTGTGAAGCTGAAACATCGATAAAGGTTCAAATTAATCTCTGTCTAATTTACAATCACAGGCACATCTGCGAGGTTTCCCTCCATGTTAACAGATTATATTATAATCCTCTACGAGAGCAGGGATGTTGGGCACCTGTCACATCAGCCCTGCCACTTTGTCTCAGCCGGTCTCTGTATTATGACAGACTGGATCAAAGAGCGGTTGCAGACCTGCTGCCGTCTACAACATCCTGGACTTCATTGCATACAGTGTCTGTTTTCCTGAGTGTGCCTGAAGTGTTCAGAAGAAATCAAATCTTTTTCCTTCGAGCTAAAAAATGTGATTTCACGTCAAAACGATCCCAGTCCAGTGTTTTTCTCCTTTAAACATCCAGATTTGTGTGTAATGTTGATGTTTGATGGGACAGCCTGGTTGTTGAATTTGTGGGGAATGCTTTACTGCATCTTTGGTTACAATACTTGCTTGGATTTGATGCATTTATACGTTAGAGCTTGTGCAGGAGCTACAGGTGGATCTGCTGCGAGGCCTCGTTTCCATTTTTCAGAGCGCGGTCCAATGAACGAAGCTAAACTCAAGTCCCGGGAAGCCTGCGTTTACTTTTGGGTTTACATTTTTCTCTCTTTTTTTGCTCGTAAACTTTCACTCTCGTGTGTGGCAGTGAAAACTTATCAGGAGCCGAGCATGTGGCTGCATTCCAGTCTGAGCCGGGGGGGGATTGGCTGTCCGGACGCCGTCTGCGTAGCGAGTGGAGCGGGAGGGGAAAGTCGCGGAGGAATGCCGTCCGACCGCTCGCTCTTTAATCCTCCTGACACTCTCACTGTGCCGTGAGGGGCAAGACAAACAGACCCAACATTCCTGTTCGCACACAGAGGGAAAAAAGCCTCGGCCACTTTAAGTTCATATTCGGAGGGGTGGAAGCAGGTCAGAGGCGAGCGCTCACATCTGCATTGTTCCTGATAGAGTTTAACGATCAGAAGGAATGTGTGATATCAGCCGAGGCGATAAGTGGCGGCTCGTTTACACCACTTCAATCTCCACTTTCACGTTTACAGTTACACACACACACACACACACACACACACACACACACACACACACACACACACACACACACACACACACACACACACACACACACAGGGGCAAATTCCAAACATCGCTTCACTGTGATGCAGACAACAGAGGAGAGCACGGCGACGATATCGGTCAGAATCTGACACGTTCATGAATTCATGTGACGTGTTTTTCTGATTCTCCTGATCTCAGCTAGAAGACGCTTGTGTTCATTTTATTTATTTATTTATTTATTTTTTCAGTTTATTCATTTTTATTGTTGCCCGTTTTGTTTTCTTGCCGTAGCTCAAGTGCTTCGAATGTAGGGATGGGTATCGAAACCCGGTTCTTGTTGAGAACCGGTTCCCACTGTTTCATTTCCTTGGAATTGTTTGCCATTTTTGCAAACGATTCCCTCATCGATTCCAGAGCGTCATTTACCTGGCAGGAAACACGGCGGCTCAAACGCTCAAAAGTTTGGTTATACTTTACGAGAGCGGATGACAACAGGGCAACTTGCAGTACTTGCAAAGTAGATATTTCATTTAAGGGAGGAAACACTACGAATATGCAAAAGCATTTGTTCACAAAACACGCGATGACCTTAAATGAATGTCGTGTTTTTAATTCCGCTCGACTAGTGAATCTCAACCCAGCAGCAGCGGTAACGTTTGCACGTCCTCTCCCGTTAATGCGGCAGGTAAATAATCAACTAACAGTGCATATTATGTTAGCGCGATCTGCCTTATTACAAACCTGCCATTACTGTGCATTTAGTGACCATGATGAGACAGAGTCTGGCTGGCTCAGATGCTGGCAGTTCTCGCTGCAGTCTACCGGTAGCGTCTCCTTTCAGGCCAGGATAGACGAATGTCACCGAGCAGTGACTCAGTTTGTGGTCAAAGGCTTGCAGCCATTTGCCACAGCAGATGATTTTCAGTAAGTGAATGTGTTTAATTGTAGGCAGGGACATTACTGGATATTCTTGTGTAATTGCTACAGAATAATTTATGTTATACTTTGTTATTGCTACAGAAGAATATTTATTTTATTATTTTACATTTACAATTTTTTTCCTGGGGACCCTGTGACACCCCATTGAAGAGCCGTAGGCTGCAGATCTCTTAAGATCTCACTGTTGGGTTTGTAAGGCCATGTTACTCCTAAATTTCTATCTTGTTCAAAGAGAAGATATAAAACAAAGTTCTAAGCTAATCTTCTTTTTTAAAAAGAGTTGATAAGAGAATCGATAAAGAATCGAATCATTAAACAGAATCGAAAATGGAATCGGAATCGTGAAAATCTTATCAATACCCATCCCTATTCCAATGATAAAACTTTAATTTCAGACTCTTGAACTGTTATTACTGCATAACAGTTTTTTTCCATCCATCGTGAAGCTTTTCCTCCCAGACCAGACATTTGTGTTAGTGTTAGATTTTTGAATTTTCTGGAATAAAACACAGGTGGTGGTTTACTCTGGATGAGGAACAGGAAGAATGCGAACGATAGCCCTGATGATCTGGGATCTACAGTAACCTGTGGTGAATGAGTTGTTTGTATGATAACCTGGTATAATATTCAAAACTGCACCTCAAAAAAGAAAAAGCCCTCCAGATTTCATCAAACAGGAATATTAATCCTGTGTTTGTTTGTGCCCGAAACGTCAACAAGAACTCGAGAACGGCTTCGGTCACACAATCTGAAATCCTTTTGTTCCTCGTTCGGGACGTCACACCAGCTCTGAACAGCACAAACATGGCTGCGCTTGATTTTCAGCCACAGCATCAGTAAACTTCCTCTTTGGCTGACATGTCGATGCAAACCCAGAATGAAAAAGTGAAAACCTGCCCAACAAACTAATATCGAAACAGCTGAGCATCAATCTTTAGGACGTGGCTGCTGATTGTCTCTCCGGGTGGAATTAATCTACCTGTCTGCCCTTTAAACTGGGCTGTGAGACTGAGGGAAGGTCACACAAACACTTTCTATTCATGTCAGATTCTGACCGCCTCGCAAATTAAATAAGGAGCCGAAAAAGGTGAGGACCGAACCCCCCAGCCGGCTGCTCGCGAGCACGCCTGTCAGCACTGCCCTTCAGCGAGGAGGACGGACTCGCTTTGCACCCCTCTGGACTCCAGCAAGGCAATCGAGGTAACGCAGCAAGAAGACACGGGAAACTTCAAAACTCACTCTTTGAGCGTCTCGAAGCCTTGCTCTTTGTACAGCAGCTCCTGCTTCATACAGGCGAGGTCCCGCTTCAACTTGTTCACCTGAGAAGAGGCAGAGACAGGGTGAGGGTTAGAGACCAAACCTCCAGGACCAAAACGTCTTACATCTTTAAAAGTGGCTCACAAATATGGAGTTTAATGCTTCAGAGCAGCTGAGCTCTGTGTGTTACCCTACAGGTGTTTAAACAAGACATTTCAGACAGTTTTTTCTACTCTCAGATCTGTATGATGTCACAGAGAGGGGCTCTCTCTTTATGGGGGGCAACCAATCAGAAGAACGTTGGCTTAAAAGTAGTTGGAGTGAAGGCGACATGGTTTGTATCAAAGGGAGCCCAGTATCAGGCAAATAAGGATCATTCTGAACCGCGAGTCATGCAAAGCGGCTCTAAAAGAGTCCAAAACATCTCACGAGGAAAGAATGAGTTTGGTATGTGGTCGTGCTGCTTTGAACAAATTAAAATGCTGACTATGTGGGGGGGCGTGGCCAGAGTTCGACTCAGGTGACTCTTCAAGTGCATAGTTGATCCACAGCCAGGAGGTGTGTGTGTGACGCTCTTTGTTTTTCCCCTTTCAAGATGAACAACAGCAGGGTTTACACCAGCCTAGGAGGCCAGAAAGCTCAACACCCCCACCCTGCAGCGAAGCGCCCGGCAGCCCGCAGTGCCCGCCGGCCGTTAACGTGTAAACTGTTCACTAATCAAAGCAGGTGGGTCGTCCTCTGCTGTAGGTAAATGTGACTCCGTGCTCTCTCTCACCTTATTTTCCTAATGTTTGTTTACATGCCTGCAGGCTCAGCTAACGTTATGCCTCCTATTTGGACGGAGGTGGTCTTACCCGACTTTTGGCCGTGGATATCTCGGCTTTGAGGATGTCCGGGTCGTACTTGCTGGAAGAGGACGATCTGGAATTCACTGTGGAAACAACGGGACGTTAGACGTTAGAGAGGCTGTGATTTCAGCTTCAGGCTGAGGCCGAAGCATTTGGTACAGTCTCAGTGAGGAAACCTCTGCTGAATTAGTTTTTAACAGAAAAGCTGAAAACCCCAAAAAATTATACAGAATTTATTTATTTTTTAAATGTGACAATGTACAGATTAATAAAAACGTTATTTTACTCTTTTTACTTTTATTGAACTATATTTATTAAATATTTGTATTTTTATTCTGAATTTGAATGCATTTTTAATTTCAATTTTTTTATTTTTAAAAATATTTTCATTTTTTATTTTTTATATCTTGATAAATATTTTTATTTTACTTTTACTTGTTTGTTTTTATGTTAACTTTATTGATATTTATAAATATTATATTTATTTGAAAATTTTAAAAAATTTTCTTTTTTCAAATTAAGGAATTGTTTTTACATTTTAAAGTACATTTTATTATTTATTATTTATTTATTAATTTATTAATTCCCTTTTTTTATTTTTAATAGTTTCTTAATTATTTATTTTATCTTTCTATATTCTTTTTATTATTTTCTTGTACTGACGACTGTTTTTGACACTTTTCTCACGATCACATGTATGAATGCGTGATTACTGCTGTCACTGTCACACTGTGTGATGCCAGCAGAATTAGGCGTTCTTCCTCCTGCTCTCACATCAGTGTCGTCTGCAGACATCAGTCACAGACTCCTGCTGACCTCCTCTGTCCATCACATCGCAAACACAAAGAGGTCAGAGCTGATCTCTCGTGTAAAATCAGACAGACGGAGGTTTTTGATTTCGGCCGTCACTCACAGCTCGTCTGCGACGTGGACTTGTCCCTCCACGCGTCGTTGAGCTGGCGGTACTCCTGCTGTGCCAGGCGGAGCCTCTGCTCCTTCACCTGGTAGATCTCCTTCTGGGCGCTGAGCGCGTCGCTGGCCACGGCCAGGTAGTCCCGCAGCATGGCCTCCTGCTCCCGCTGCCACTGGGCCCGCGGGTCCTCCAGCTGGGTGCTCTCTGGAGGAAAACACGATGAAGAGGAAACATGAGCAGGAGTTCAAAGGTTGGAAGAGGCACAAAGCTTAAAAACCTTTCTTAGCTTTCTTTTGATGCAGCAGAGGAACTGATCACAGCTTCTTAATGTACAACAGAACAGAAAAGACTGTTACGACAGTGTAATTCAGCAGTGTCCCATAAACCTGCCGGTCCTTTGCTTCATGAAGCTGAGCCGCCTCCAAGCCTGAGCGAGAGGCTGACTGGTGCCTTAGCTCATTCACAGAGGAGGGAGAAACAGGATGATGAGGAGAGAAACTCACTGGTGTTGTGGTCGACATAGTACGCTCCGACGACGGGGTCGTACGCCTCCTCCCAGCCAACCGGCAGCTCGTCCCCGATGCAGTCGGCGAACGTCAGAGGCTTCGTCTGCCTGAGAAACAGAAAAACAGAGTCAGAGCACAGAAAGCTCTTCATCACTCCTCATCATCAGGGCTGTCACAGATCCGGATGCAAAGAAGGGCTCTGACTCGCCTGTTTGCATGAGTTCTACATGTTTTTGTGTTGCCCGCTCGATGTTTAAGATCGAGTCCATTAAAGCTGTTTATTTGGAAACGCGTCCAAATCAAACCCAAACATTCAAACCCTGCTGAATGAACCCACTCAAACACTGTTTTTATCCCCACTCGCTCTCTGTGTGAAAGCTTCTTCAGCAGCAGCAGCAGGAGGAGGGGGATAGGAGAAAGGCTGGGTGTGTAGGGGGGTGGTCCCTGTCACTCATCACAATAGGAGGAAACCGACCCGCCACATTCCACAGGCGGTGGTGACGCATCGCCTGGAGGTTTCCGGGGCAACCTCTCGACCTCAAAGCGCCTTGGCTGACATTAAATATTAAAAATCCCACGTGGACTCATAACAACCACGTTACCGTGTCATATTCTCCACTTCACAGTCCTGCTGTGCGTGAACTGATCTCAGGACATCAACCAGAGGAAAGCTGGGACTTTTTTATTAAATGCCCACTGAAGACTCATTTTATTTTTTATATTACTCCTACACGACATCTTTAGAAAGCGATTTATAATTTAATTTTGAAATTATATTAACTATATGGAAATGGATGGAAAGGAAGGATGCGCCTCCATCTGAGCCGTATTTGTATTTATAGCTTTGCCAGCTTGTCCCCTGCTCTCGGCCTCGCTGTGTGTGCACCTCCTCGCACACAGAGTGGAGCAGGCTTGACTTCAAAGTAAAAGTCGTGCTTTACTGCTGAAACGACACATTTCAAAAAGCCTCAACTTTTACTTTGACGGTCTCCGTTTACAGTTTGCATCACTCTTAGTTTCACAGCTGCTTCATCAGCGGTAACCTGCGAGTAAGCAAAGCACACAGGTCTTTGTCTCAGTACGAGTACCTCTATGTGATCATGTTTCCTCCAGAAACCGCTCGCCAACCATTTTTGATCGTTGCCTCGCCAAATGGTTGCTAAGCGCTCACTGTGTGGCTTAAGTTTCTACTTCCCATGTCTGTGAGTCTGCAAGGGTCCGAGTGATGTAAATTTGACCATCAGACAGCGGGCACAGGGGTTTATATGGATGCCATGTGCCTGTTTTGGTGGTCGCGCACACTCGTCCACAGGCAGAGTCCACAGAAGTACAACCGGAATGACCGAGTGTAATCAAGGCTGTAACGACGACTTCTAACTTAAGTGCAACAAAAGCTTCCAAACAAGTGTTTGGCACATAAGAGCTCGAGCGAGCGGGACAGAAGCAGAGAGTCAGCTGTGATTTTCAGTCACGTCGACACGCTCAAGAAGTAAAAGCTGCTGAGTGAAAAAACTCCACACTGTTCGTCCTTTTAATGCCAACTTCCTCCGTCCTGTTTCAGATCTCCTGCTGCTGACGTGAACAGATCCGCTGAACAGATCCACACCCGATCCAGCTGGACTCAGAACCCAAACACTGGATCGTGTCCATAGTTTCTGCTTCTTTGTACTAACAGTACTCATCTTTTTATATATAATTCACAATGTTCACCACATGTTTGGTGAATGGATAACTAAAAGTGAATACTTTCAAAACAGTAAACTGAATATTAATCTGTTTTTTTATGGTTTATATTTTCAGAGATGTTGACATGTTAGCCACAACTTAAAGTGAGTTTGACCCTCGTGGCTCACGTCATCCAAATATGAGAAGCTGAAAATCCACATCCATAAATGATGCTGCCCTCGTTTTCCTCACTTTAAGGTTTCATTTTGTTTAGATACGGAAACTCAAACACATCATCCCAGCGTGCCAATTATCAGTCGACAAAAAGCCTGTGTGTGTGTGTGTGTGTGTGTGTGTGTGTGTGTGTGTGAGATAAAAGCATTTGGATGTGTCTGTGTGCTAAGCTTTGTCCAGACAAACACACAGATGTATGAAATCCTCCCTCGCTGATTCCGAGGCTTGTCGCTAGCGTTTCTTTTCAGCGTTCCTTCGTTATGTCGTGACTGCAGATAAACTCGGAGTCGGCTCACTGCTGACGGCAGAAACTGAACTGGGTCCTTTTTCAGCTGATGAATAATGAAAGGGGCCCGGAGAAGACCCCCTCAGCTCAGCTCTAAATTTAGCCGGGGAAGACGGAGAGGCTGCTGATCCCAGAGAGAGCCGGCAGTCCGACCGGCCGGCAGCTCAGGTATCCCATTATTTGATTCCTCTCTTTCTGTTTCCTCCCACTGGCTAAATCTTATCCTCTGATCGTCAAGGGGAGTCGCTAACATAGTCGCTCTCCGTCACAGTTTCCCCTCACAGCGGCGGACCAGCTGGCAGCGGTGGCGACGGCCTTCGTTTCACCGTCAGTCAATCAAATGGTGCTTGTGTGCTTCTCGCATGCTTCACTGCATCAGCGCTCAAACCGCCTGCAACGGCCAAGGGAGCAGATCAAAAACAAGCCACAGTGAGCGTAAACAAGCGTGCCGATAATACCTCAACAATGAGACGTGTTCAGTCATGTGTGTTTGGACCGTTAGTGTCCAAAATCAACAAAATCTAAATCCAGCACACTTTAAGAAGTCCTCACATGCCACAGCGTGAAGGTGAACACCTCGGGTATGTGTGTTCACGTGTTTTTACTTTAGATGACAGGAAAATTTAAAAAAGGCAACTTTCTCCTGAGTGGGATCCCCAAGATGACCATATTAGGGATATCCTCTCTCTATGACATCATACAGATCCAAGAGTAGAAAAAAATTGTCTGAAGCGGAGTGTTTCGATCAGGCTCGCAGGGGCCTGGAGCTGGAAGAGGAAACCTGTTGTCACACAGCTCACCTGCAGGGCTGCCAGTCATCCATGTGGATGCTGGTTTCTACTTCAGACCAGTCGAGCATTACTGAGCTAAATCTCCATTTACAGGGCGCTTCTGAGCGTGGAAATCACGCAAGATTACACATTTAATGCACCGCTGCCATTAGAGAAGCAGTAAACTGTTATTTTCTTTGCACTTACAGATTTTAAAACTACATCCTGTGAGTTTGGGCGTAAGCGGCAGGATTCAGAGGGGATAATGCTGGAGTCGCCAGCCCCACCACAAAAAAAAAAAAAAAAAAAAAATTTTAATTGCACCAATTACAGGACTTTTAGCGTCACATGAAAGGCTGCACATTTTTGAGCTCACACGAGACTCAAAGAAGAAGCATAAAAGTCATTCTGGTGACGTTCTGGTCAAAAATGAATTTGCAGTCTAACAAAAGTGGGTGAAAACCTGATACGAGTACGTGCACCCCCCCACGCTCAGGTTTCACATACCAAGGTAAACACTGAGCCGAGCCTCGGCGCTCTGATGCAAACTGACAAAACGAGAGGCAGAGTGCAAACACACAGGGCGGCGAGCTGCATAGCTGAGCGGTGAGTCAGGCGGCGTGCAAATTCCTCAGGTTGAGTTATGAGGCTTCAAACCAGTTCATAGCTGCTCAAGGTCCAACTGTAAAACACCCTCACCACATCACAGCCATAAAGCTCCACCGACAGATAACCGGTGGATTCATTACCGAGACGGCCTGCCCCGTGTCACCCACCTCATACCTGCGTTATCTGACCAATAACATTCCTTTGTTCTGATGACACACGTTCAGGGCCAGCAGCAGAGACCTGACGCGGCAGTCTGGACAGTTTATAAGCACTTTCCTCATTCTTTGAGTCTCGAGGTGTAAAACCTCCCGCTGAGAGCGAGAGGTTGTTGACTGTACAAGAAGAAGAGCGGATGATACGTTTGAATTTGGACTCCACATCCCTGTCATCCAAACCTGTACGCCGGCTAAAGCTGCAGACCTTGGGCTGTGGAGCCCGCTGCCCTCTATAGATGGGTTTCGCTTCCCAACAGATGACGCAGTTTTGTAAAAAAAAATAATGCATTTTTGCTTTTAAAGCTCAGTGAAAACCCGTGTCGACCAGTTTACCGCCCCAGAAAAGCAGGTGCTGCGTTCAAACTTTGGGCGCCTGCAGAAGACTCAAGGTCTGCATCGTCCAAACTCTGACCTCGTCGTGTCCTTCAAGGTACTCAAACTGATTACAAACAGTTTCTTTATAAAGGAAAGCAACGTAATTCAAAATGAATCAAATGACATCCAAACATTTTTCAGCGTGGTTTCAATCAGCAAGGACAAAATGACACATGTGTAACCGCATCTGTGTTTTTAACCCCGTCACACACTCAACACCCCGGGTACACTGAGCCGTCACCCAGCATCAGCTGCAGGTGTCGTTTCATACATTAAAACAGCCATCTTTATTATATTTCCCTTTACAGAATCATTTATTATATTACAGTCACATTTTTAAGTTGACATTTTACCGTATTTTTAGCGTTTTACTTATTTATTCCATTTATTTGAGCTCTAAATGGAGTAAAACTAACAATCACTCAAAAATGATTATTTTTTGTATTTTTTTTATCCAATTGATTAATTTTGTCTTCTGAGTTATTCTCCTTTTAATTATTTCAACTTAATTAATTCTTCTCAAGCCACAGTTTTGTTATTAGTTGGATATATGTTGCATATATATTAGGGGTGCAACCATACACAAAATTCACGATTCGATATTTTTTCGATACAAAAAAAAAATGTTCATGCCTTTTTAATTTGTCATTTATTAAAATTATAAATATATATTTTAACTCAAAAGTACAGTTTTTAAATTTAATGTTGCTGAAACAACAAAGTAATAAAAAAATAAATATATCTAATTGAGGAATCACTCAAAAGAGAGTTTATTACAGAGAAATGTCTCTTTCCAAAATAAAAGCTATACTATACGCTTCTTCTGGGCTATATTCTCAGCAGCATATTAAACATATCAGGCCCCCATAAGGAGAATCCTGTGCTAACGGCTGTCTAAATGACTCTGGTAAAGTTTGTAGCATGCGTGCTTGTTGTTTTTGTCTGCTTCCACT